TGGCAGAAATTAAAAAAATTATTTTAAATAATATATTTTTTATTTAGATTTTTAAAGAAGTATTCTCGAAGAATAAAAATATTTAAATAATTTAAAAAATATTTTTTTATTCTTAATATAGAATTATATTTAGATATAAGATCTTTTTTAAAACAGCTAATAATATAAATCTTATAAAAAATAAATATAATATATTAGTTAGTATTAATTTTTATTTTTTTAGATCTAATTAATAAAGTAGTAGAGGTTAGAATAGTTATTTTTAAACTTATTAAAATTAAATAAATATTTAGAAAAAAATTAAAAAAAGATTTAAAATTAATTAATATAATTATTTCTATTAGAATAGCTATAGTATTTTTAATAATAAATCTAAATTTCAAAATTTATACTAAAATATTTATTATAAGAATAGTAATCTGAATAGCTTTAATATATTTAATCTAAACTTAGTTTTTTTTTAAATAATTTTTTAAATAGTATTTATTTTTATAAACTAGTAGTTTAGATTAGTTTTTTTTTAAATTTATTTTATTTAATAAAAAAATAGTATATTTTTTATAATAATAATATATTAGGTCTTGGTAAATACAGCTTTAATATTTATAATATATTAATGTAATCTATTATAATAATTATATTATTTTTTAAAATATTTACTAATATATTAAGTAAACTTTTCTGAATTAATTAGTATAGCTAGAAATTATAAAATTACTAATATTTTATTAGAACTACTATTTTTAAAAATAAAAATTATATAATATTAAAAAATAAACTAGTAACTAGTTTTTAGTTTAGTTAAATAATAGAAATAATAGTTCTAACTAAATAATTTTTCATAACTAGTTTTCTAAGTTTTTTACTAGCTATTAGATTAGATAATTATTAGATTTATAAATAAGATATAGCTTAAAGAACTATAATAGAATTAGAAATAAATAATTAATTAAAAAGATTATAGATTATATATAAAACAGTTAGAAAAAATAGTCAGATTATTAGAGTTAAATAGATTAAATAAATTAAATAGATTAAACAGATAGAATAGATATATTAGGTCTGTATTATAACACAACTGGTAATAAAAAACTAATTAAATTAATAATTTATATTAGATATTATTTTTAGTACTAATTTAGATATTAACTAATAAAATTATTTTAAATATTTTTTTAGAAATAATTAAAACTTCTAAATCAATCGTATATTTTTATTAAATATTTAAGATATAACTTCCTTTGCAAAAATATTTTCTAAATTAAGAAAAAATCTTATTAACTTTTAGTATTTTTTAAAAAAAATAATAAAATAAGTAATCTGCTTTATAGTATATTGAAATATTATTTTTAATTCAATTTTATATATTACATCTATTTATTATCTAATAAATTATTTTCTAAAATATAAATAGTAAGATTATAAAAGCTAAAGTAATAAAATAATATAATAAATAAATAATTTTTATAAGATCTAAAATAATAATATATTATAATAGAATATTATTCTTAATTCTTTTAATTTGTTTAATCTATAAGACAGCTGCTATCTTTATAAAAACTGCGGCCGGCTCGCTTAATTATTATATGGTTAATATCTGAGGCTTGCTATATAGATTTCTCCTCGCGATAACCGCGAAGATTGCAAGGGCTGGTTTGGGCCCTTACACAGCCGAGGCTCAGCAAAATAGTATAGTATCTCACATCTATGGTCTAGGAAAAGGTTTAGTTGATTCCCCTAACAGTAAAAACACAGAGAGTTCAGGACAGCTTAACATCTAATTCCAGCAACTGATAAGAGCACCCGGTCGAGAACAGCAGAACTCGCAATGGTGGAACAATGATGGAGTCGGCTTCAGTCACCTTGCTCTTATGACCTGACTAAGTACTAGAATGTACCTTCTATCTCTTACGTTTCTCATCCTCTTTTCTCAGCCTTTTACGACTCTCATGAGCAATCATGTCACTCAAGTCCTCCTGGAAATTCCAACCTGGGTCCATGTCGCGATACTTCTGTGACTCGTAGAGTTTCTTGATATCAGCCTGCCCCATTCCGTCTCCCGTCTGCAAAGCATCTGGGTCAAAAGAAACATCGACATCACCCGGCTTTTTCCGCTTTCTGGTGCTGTCATCAGATCCCAGAACCGGTAGGTTGTCCGAAGTCTTGTGAAGATCATAGACTCTATCTGCCCCAAAAAATCCCTGGACATGAGCCTGCCTCTCTGGGATAATCTGGAAGGCGCTTCTCTGGGCTGTGGATTCCTCTGTTTGAGTTCCTCGATAATGCTTCCGCACGTCGAACTCACCAGCAATGCTTTCAGGGCCGCCTGTCTCCGTTGGAACAGCGGATGTCAACCCACTGGGCGTCTCCAAACCACTAGGAGTTTGCATTCCCGTGTCCACATCCTCATCACCATCCGCAACACTGCTAGCTGCGTCTTCTTCATCGTCATCGCTCTCATCGTCACTTAACTCCGGTGCCTGCAATTCGCCCCAAAGATCCTTCTCCACAGGCTCACCCTGCTGGACAGCCTGCTGAGGCTGTAGAACACCGAAGATGTCACCACCGTAGAGGGGCCTATTATGCTCATCGACCGGAGGCTTTCCATACCCACCCGGGTGATATCCCCACATCGCGCCTGGAGGCGGGGGAGCGTTCAGACCTGGTATTTTGAGAGCAGGATAGGACGGAGGCGGACCATACCGTTGTTGATTGATCAACCATGGAGGTGGGGCACCCGGGGGCATATTCAAAGCCTCTTTTAACTCAGCACTAAGCTCTCCAGGCCGAAGATGTCTTAGATTAGTCTCATATTCCTTGCCCTCGTAGTAAACCTCCCCGTAACGTGTGAGTTCTGGCTTTGTTTGAAACCGAAAAAATGCTTCATAGAGCTTCTGGTAATCGATATCCAACCTTCCCATCTTCGGCTGAACCCTCTCTCTTTGCTTTTGTTTTAAAGTCGCCTGCTCTTGCTTCTCCAAAGCAGCATCACGCATCTCAGATATCCCCGTTTCCTGAATGAACTTCGGCAATGCAAACGGAGCCTTTTCGACTCCTCGTTTCGAGGATAAATATTCTCGCTTCAATGACCAGTGCGCTGGTACAGGCACAACGTTTCGATGCGATTTGAGGTGAACAAGCAGCCTTGGATCGGGCGCTGATGTGTCTGTCCATTCGACGATCTCTGGCTTTCGAACCATTGCCTTCAATTCGGCGACAGAAAGTTTGTTCAACTCCTTCCGTTTTCGTCTTGACAAAATAGGCTCTTTCGCCTCTTCGTCCGGGATTTCATTATCGTCATCGAAATAAATAATAGGTCTGGGAAGCTCCTTTGTTTCCGGTCTTCCATCCTCGGAGTCTTCAAATTTGCCAATGACATCCTTATATAAATGCCATAGTGAATCATCTCCCTCCGAAGGTATGATACTTTGGAAGTTTTGCGAAATAACTTCGGGTCCAGGGAGCGAAGGGTCGTCATGTCCCGCGGATTGCCCATTAGGCGTGCCGCGGATAATGTCGGTCGAATTAGCCTGTACAAAGCGCGAATCAATTGACAAGGTCGTTGCTAGGCTTTGAATCGAAAACGTACCTGAGACTTCAGAGCTTTCTTCTTTGCTCTTCTCAGCTGATTTTTACTGGCTTTCATAGCTGGCTGTCAGTATGATTAGAACACTCGGTTGTTCTTCTCTTGGCTTCGCAGTGACCTGCTAAGGGATACAACCGATAGGCTAGAAAAGCTGTGTGAATTGCGTAGTATTGGTAGGTAGGTCAACAGGCTAGGTTCTTGTGCCTAGGAGCAGGGCGGCGAGGAAGTTGCGTGGTCCGTAGGTGTTCCAGCCACTAACGCAATTCGAATCACGTGGCATTGTCACTCTCGGATAAGAGGTAGTCTAGCTAGGGATTCTAATTGTACGCTTAATGCATATGTTCTTGGGGACTACAAGACACTGGTTCCCTTGCAAAGACCAGATATGATCTGGGATCTCAAGCCGCAATTTTCTGCGCTGCGCCAAAACTTCAAATGTATGGAGTTTGTGATTGACCCGCGTGATTGACTGTGATTGACCCATTGAACATCTATTGTCGACTACATAGATCCCCAGAGGCCCGATGTTTGTGATTTGGGTCTTTTCAGTGTTTTGTCCAGTAATCAAGCTCACATGCAATCATTTACAATAAACCGGGCTCGGAACGATGCCATGCCTATTCCACGGCAGGAGGTAAACAGGATGTCTCAATTCCAATAATCTAGACGTGCAGTCTGCGATATGTGCTAATGGTAGACTATTTCTTCTTCTTGGCGGACCGCGATTCTGTGGTTTTGAATGAGATCATGTCTCTCGCATGTTGCAGCCATCAAGTTGGTAAGACTTACCTGCGGCGGTTCTCTTTTTCTTTGGTCTACCTTTCCCTCGTAGCTTGGCACTATTGACACCGGTAAGAATGGTTCCAGAGGATTGTCAGGGAACATACATCTGGATGGCTTCTTCCCGATCATCTTCCCCTTCATCAAACATTGTCAAGCCCAGGGGCTTGTATGTGGCTTGCAAATCTCGGAAAGAGACGGTTTTCTTGGGATACCATGCCGAAAGACTCGGACCGCGCAGTCTTTGACGTAGGACCTTGTTTCCCAGGCGTAGCCTCTCCGGGTTGAAGTTTAGTGAGAAGATCCGGCACTGGACCTGCCGAGAGGTGAGTTGAAGTCCACAACAAGTATGATGAGGGGTAGGAAAGAAGCAAATATCTTTGGCACAATTCACATCTTCCCTGAATCATCGTACCTTTGCCAGCTCTAATACTCGGCTGTATTGGGTGGCCATCTCTGGGCAATCGGGCAATAGCCACTGAGATGGAGTTACAAACTGCGCCTAAGACTGTACCCCGTATCTACTTTTGAAGCCACGCCACGTGACCGCGGTATTTTTCCAGACCCGAAATGATCTATGCAGTCACAATGTTTGGCTTGTACACAAATCCCCCAATATGCCTTCGAAAAGGAAGTCTGTCTTTTCCCCAGCATCAACTGATAGTGATAAAAAGATAAAGGTGACCCGCAGCTCTAAATACCGGACTTGTATGTTTTGAATCCTGACAATAGCAGCGCAATGCACCAGAACGCGCCCAACATCCACCCATCTTGCGTGGGCAGCATGATAAAGCATTTTCTGACCTGAAGGCTGTGGTTCGCGACGCTATCGACAACCGCAGCCTTTCGATGATCACGAACCGTCAGGCAGCTTCAGATATCATGAGGCTTCTGACAGAGCTCGATGCTGCCCTATGTCACGAAGAAGTCCATGTTCCTTCATCCAACAGTTCACAGGATCAGAATTCCAAGATCATAGCAAACAAGCATAATTCCCAGCTCCCGGATCTGCCTCGGATCACGGATAGCGCCCTTCGAAACGCGGTTTTCACGCATCCAGGCATGAAGAATGACATCGGCGCTACATACGATCGCCTTGAAGTCCTTGGCGATGCGTACATCGAAGTCATATCCACGAGACTTATTTGGGACAAGTTCCAGGATATATCATCTGGTCGAATATCGCAGATCCGTGAGACACTCGTAAGAAATGATACATTAGCCGACTTTGCAACAAGATATGGATTTGACACCAAAGCCTCTGTGCCGTCGCACTACGCGGATCAACCAAAAAGGTGGACAAAAACAAAGGCGGACATTTTCGAAGCATATGTCGCGGGTCTTGTATTATCTAGTCCAAGCGACGGCTATGGTATAGCTGAAGAATGGTTGACAAAGCTGTGGTTGCCGATGCTTGAGCGACTTGGCGACCAAAGGTCTACTTTGCATGCCAAGGAAGCGCTTGCTAAGAAGATCATGGGAAAGGGCGTCAAGCTTCGTTACGCTGATGAACGCGCTCCCTCGCCGCAAGGGAAGGGAACACAGCTCTTCTATGTTGGGGTATATCTTACCGGATGGGGCTGGCACAACAAGCATCTCGGTTCCGGCCAGGGTACTAACAAGGCTATCGCAGGGGACGAGGCAGCCCGACAGGCATTACTTAATGTCCAACTAATTGACGAGATTGTTAAAATGAAGAAAGCAGAGACATTACCCAAATTTTGAAGGTTCTCTTCCAGCTTGTTGGCCGCAGTTGTTGTTGAAACTGGCAACTTTACTGTATCAATTACCAACTAAGATTGCAGAGCACAGAGCACCTAAAACTTCTTGAACTACCTAGCATGCACAGGCTGCGATGATGCTCGGCGATTACGAAGTCAGCCGCTAGCGAATGCCTGGACGAATATTATGAGCGATCATCTCACTTGTCAACTATCTAGCATCGTACCTCTTGGATCAAGTATATGTAATCATTACGTGTATTTAGTTAAACGGTATCCAGAACATATACATATAGTTATATCATGAATGTATAATCTAAACCTTAGCTCGTCTTTAATCCTGGTCCCGGGGCAAATCATGCTCAGCAATTGCCTGTGAGACAATATACATAGCTTCCCGAGCTGGGAGGGCATCCTTTAGTATGCTTTTGGTCATACGAATAGATAACTAAATACTTGTACATTCCAATTACGATAAATCTATTCACGTGGTTTCTGTATCACCGAAATAACTCGTGATTGGAAGCCTTCGTCTGACATACTGAGTACATGCTCATAGTACATGGTACGAGTACTATGAGTAGCAGAGGAATAACTTCTAATGATCATCTGTGGGTTGGTACACCCAAAAACTACTAACCTACTCCATGCTCTGTACATATTTTGAAACCCGAGTAGTAAACCTGCAGCCCGGCGATTACGCCAATCAGCTCAGATGATGCATGCTTTGTCGGGTACCACACACACCGCCAAGTGGATTCATTGCCCCTCACTGGAAGTGGCCAAATCAGAAAAAGCATTGAATTGAAATGAAAACTTCAGGCGCACACATTTTCTATTACAAGGTACAGTACAGAGTACAGTACATATGACCAGCAATGATGACCCCGCTTTTCCAAGGTGGTTGTCGTCATGTGGCAGATCATCGACCGACCCGCCCCATATGGTATGCCCCATAGCATCATCGTTTCTGCTGCTAACGTGCGAGTGTAGTGACACATAACATATCAGTGATAAGTGATTTCTGCCCCTGACCTTTGCAGGTCATCAGGTTCACAGCCTCCACACAGTCAGCTTCCTGATTATCATAGACCAAGGTACTGGCTCACTGGCTCTACATAAAATATTTGCCTCCCAATGCCGCCACGCGCCAACCCCGCAATCCCATGAGCGCTGCTGAATCTGCTTCTATTAGTCCCTCAGCCCCCAGCCATCGGCGCGTTGACTCATACTTACCTTAGCCTGTTTTTGGAAAAGGGGTTCATAGGAAGTAAGAAAGATCAAATTCCGCTGGTTTAAAGATCTCGTGAGCTCTCTTTGCGAACCCTTCCCCCCCATAGCGCAAGGCACCAGCAGGAAATATTTGTCCTCGCCTTATACCTAGTATCCATTCATCTCGGCCATTGTGAGCCTTATCGCCGAGACCCAAATCATACCTGCTTATTGCCACCAGACAAAGAGGGCGCCCTGACAAATCAACAGCACGTGTGTTTTGCCAGCATTGATCAGGTCTCAATTCCATTGACTTCCATTAACACCCTATCAATATCCATAGCACCTTTCCACCTTGTACTCGAAGATTACATTTACCCAGGGCTGACCTTAAAAGCAGTGATCTCTGCTTTCAACAACATTTTTTATAAACCCTAAACTTTGACTCACCCTTGCCCGTGCCTGTGACCGGGGCTTGGGAATCTTTCTCCGTGATGACCTCACTCAGTACTGCCTCGTCGCTAAACCCAAGCGATAAGGCCAAAATGAGTCGTCTCCCATCCGTTTCCAGTCTGATGTCGCCTCCAGAGTCGAAACCTCTGGAGGTCTTCAATCCGACTACGATGTCCAGTTTCAAACTGTCGCAGGATCCAGCATATAGTCATAGTATGGAACTTCCTCCTATCCCAGGCAATCGGAAGCGTACTCAATCAGAAATGGACTTGCCATCCCCTCCTGTTACGCCCTATGCTGGAACTAAAAAGAGGAAATCATATGTCTCCGAACAAATTGACAAAGATGCTGTTGGCACTTCCAGAGATCCTCTTCTATTCCCCCGACATGAATCTATAAATGACATTGCCACTGACGAACCTTTGTTTGGGCCCATGCTTCCCAACACCGCGGAAGCGTTGGTCAACCAACATATCAATTCTCACATGGCGATGTTCGAGAACAAACTAAATAAGCCGACGCGCGACGAGTATCTTCTAGCTCTTTCATGCGTACCGATCGTATCTTCGCAATTTAATCGCAATCCAGCAGCATGGGCCAAAGAGGAGCGAGAGACATTGGAGCGTCAGTTGTTACTGATGAACCGATGTCGCCCACGGTCAATCGAGTCCAAGTTGAAGACACTGGCACCAGCACCAGCGAAAAGGGCGCTGGCTGCACAGCCTCGTGTTCAACGGGCCTCTAGAGTAAAGCGAACACCGAAGTCTACACCAAAGCAGAAAATCCTTGAGAGTTTTGACCTCCCGCCATCAAGCGCGAGGCAAGCTCGCACTATAGGAACTAATCGAGACGATATCGACTATAGCTCCATCCAAGATTTTTCTCCTTCGATAGAGACTCTTGGTGGCAATGCAAAGGCGCTGAAAGCAGACTGGAAAGGGCAGGTGTTAGACCTCAGTCTCGACCCTGACAGGGATCTACTCAGTTCAGCAGAGCTTAGCCTGGCAGCAACCTTGAGGCTCTCATGCGCAACGTATTTGTGCAGCAAGCGGCGGATCTTCGAAGCTAGAGTCAAGGCCTTAAATGTTGGTAAGGAGTTTCGAAAGACAGACGCCCAACAGGCCTGCAAGATCGACGTGAACAAGGCAAGCAAACTGTGGACTGCTTACGAACGCGTGGGCTGGTTCAACCCAGAACATTTTCAACAGTATCGACAACAGTAGGGCTTGGAATCTCAAGTTTTCTCTTACATCGAAGATGTCTTACTACCGCCTTTCCTCCTGGGTAATAAGCAATCCGGTATTCGAAGTTTGGCAGTGCATCATGTTATATCACAATTGTTCACGCGCTTGTTAACCTCATCACTCACTAACCATGATTGTGGTATATTGCTTAAATTTGCACCTAGACATAGCAGCCTTCCTGTGATCGCATAGAACTTCTTGCCGCCCAGCGATCATTGCGGTGTTCTATGCATTTTATTAACCATTGGTGTTTTATAATTAATACCCCGATTGCTTCAGGCTTCTCCCCATTCCATTTCTGCAATAGTATGTTCATGTCGGCTTGGGTCATGTTGCTACAATCAAGTCTCTGTGCCGCGATTTACTCAAGCCTCCGGCGCGGGGTTGGTCATGTTCATTTAGGGCACATACCTGCCTTTGCTTTCAACTCAGAATCAAGAATCTGTATTATCTTGCCAGTAAATTGTCTGCATCGTGCCTAGGTTCAATTTGTCTACAAACCACGACCCATATCTAGTATAAAAACCATAGACCATTGTGTAATTCTGACAGATCAAGCACAATGTATTATTTTGAAGCAAACCAGTTTCAGGACCAGTCAAGCCATGCACAGATGCTGCGGCAGTACGGCAGTTACCCGACTATGGGAACTGGGAAGCTTTACCTGCCAACTACGCAGTTTCCGATTTCCGGATCCTCAATTCCACGCCACCCGGCCCGCCCATGGACATCGTGCAACGCCTGCCTCATCGGATACTTGAATTGGAACGCATCCTTTAGCAATCCGCGTCTTAGGCCCGGCGTCGTATGGGCTCGATCTCATGAGAAATGTCTCACACAGAAGCCACTCGTACGGAGTACAACAATGAAGAGCATGGGGGGTCTGGCGATGACAAGAAGTCCAAGACTAGAAGACCAGCAAGTGAGGACAGCACCACCCTTGGGATAGCCTGATTTCAGTCTGATAAAGATGAATAGATACCGCTTTCCGGCAGCAGCGTTTAAAAGCCTGGCAGTGAGGAATAAAACCCGATGGAAACTCAGTCAGCTAAGAAAGCTGACACATGCAGGCCAATCCTGACCCCTAAGAGCGTGTTGCCTCTCTTTTTTGTCATTGGCGTCATTTTTGCCCCGATCGGTGGTCTTCTACTATGGGCCAGCTCGCAGGTATGTGGTTTCTTCAACAACTATTACGTCTAGGAGGCTAAAGTCCCCCAGGTCCAGGAGATAGTCATAGACTACTCAGAATGCGCCAGCAAGGCATCCTCCCAACCAACCTCAATTTCAGATAGGGTGAAAACCTCGTTCCAATCGAGCAATGAACAATCAACACCGACTTGGCAGAGCCTGAACAAGAATGGGACAACCGTCTGTCGCTTGATTTTCGAAATTCCTGATAAATTAGAACCGCCCGTATTCATGTACTATCGCCTGACCAACTTCTACCAGAATCATCGCAGATATGTCAAATCACTCGATATTGATCAGCTGAAAGGAAAGGCCGTCGACAACGAAACTATCAGTGGAGGATCTTGCGATCCGCTCAAGCTTGACCATTCCGGGAAAGCGTATTATCCATGTGGTCTTATTGCAAATTCGCTATTCAATGACACAATTAGCAGTCCCGAGCTCCTGAACGGCGACGATGCTGAGACATATTACATGACGAATAAAGGTATAGCGTGGGACAGCGACAAGCAGCTGATCAAGAAGACCCAGTACAATAAATGGCAGGTGGTCCCTCCGCCTAATTGGCATGATCGCTATCCTAATGGATACGTTGACGGAATCCCCAATCTTCACGAGGATGAAGAGTTCATGGTATGGATGAGAACCGCAGCATTGCCGGCTTTTAGCAAATTGTCGCGGCGAAACGACACCACAACCATGGCTGCGGGAAGTTACCAGCTCGACATTGAGGACCGTACGTTTGAGTATCCCAGCAATTACCAAGGTTGCTAATGGCAAAGTAGGCTTTCCCGTCACTGAGTACGGTGGTACGAAGTCGATACTAATTTCCACTCGAACTGTTATCGGTGGCCAAAATCCCTTTATGGGGATCGCGTATGTAGTCGTCGGTGGTGTCTGCATTGTTCTCGGCGCGCTCTTCACCATTGCTCACCTAGTACGACCCAGGTACGCACTAAAGCCTCAATTGGCCATTCCGCAGCTCGAAAACCACACTGCTAATCCGCGCTTTATCCAGAAAACTCGGTGACCACACCTATTTGACCTGGAACAACGACCATGGCAGTCCTGCTACCTCAACTGGAAGAGATGACAGATTTGGATCCCATGCTCCATAGGGATTTTCTGGTGTTCGTTTCGTCGCCTCTTTCATAGGAATGTAATGTCTCTTTTCCTTTTTTTCTTTAAACACTGTCTTTTCTTTACATGGTAATCGCGTCAGTAAATCGGATTCTGATGTTTTTGATGCCTTTGTTCACGGAGTTGCTTGGATCATGTCCTCATATTTGTCTACACCAAATTGATTGAAGCTACCAAATCAGTTGCTGTTCTTATCAGACGCATCCCTGGGAAGGCTGCTTCTGTTCTCCCCATCCGGGCATCTACCCCTAGCTACGGCATTCTCGAGCACCTAGGATTCCTGTGACCAAGTTGTTATACTTGGCTAACGACACATTCCACGTAGCTGTTGGTAACAGCTTGCTGTTCTTTTATTTCACTCGGGTATTCCTTCAAAGAAAACTGTTATCTTACTCAAGAAACCAGTATGGCTCGGAATTTCATATGCCCTTTGTTGGTGCTCATCATGATGGGTATGCAGGTCTTGTGCGGCGCGTCGTCTTTAGACCGCGGTTTCTGTGCCACGCCTGCGCCCAGCGAACGATTGAAAGCAGAATTTAGGAGGCTGAGTATGTCAATACCACGAACCAACTCGAGCTTTGTATATGAGACCCGAGAGGCCGAAAGCACGATTGAAATAGAAACATGGTTTCATATCGTGAGCAGCCAGGCTGCGGCCAACTCGGTTTCGGACCAGATGATAGCCTCCCAGGTTTGTTTTGTCCTATCACCTAGGTCCCTGTCCCTACAAATTAACTCGAGTATAGTTGATCTATCTACAAAAGGCATATGAGAATGCCACCATATCTTATCGCCTCAAAGGCATTACTCGTCATGTGAATGATACATGGGCCCACAACCAGGATGAAATTGCCATGAAGAGTGCTTTGCGCCGTGGGAGTTACAGCACTCTTAATGTTTATTTCCAGACAGATCTTCAGATTTCATCTGATGGAGGTGCTCGAGCATTGCGCGGTGTCTCTGCGCGACAGATGGGAACTCTATCGTCCAGCGTACTCGGCTTTTGCACTCTGCCTGACCCAAGCATGAATGCCAGTAGCCCACGTTCCACCTATATAAAGGACGGCTGTAACGTCCTGGCCAGGACTATGCCTGGAGGTTCCTTAGCGCATTACAACCGAGGAGGAACGGCCGTCCACGAGATTGGGCACTGGAACGGACTTCTCCATACATTCGAAGGAGACACTTGCTCATCCAATAACGAAGGCGACTATATAGACGACACCCCACAACAATCTGAACCGACTAATGGTTGTCCGGCTCAGAAAGACTCATGTCCAGACCTCCCTGGTCTGGATGCAATCCACAATTTTATGGACTATTCATCTGATGATTGCTACGAGAACTTTACACCTGATCAAATTGAGAGAATGAGGAATATGTGGTTTTCCATGAGGGCAGGGAAGTGAAGGAGTAGAGACACGTCGAGGTTTACTGCATATAGGCTGTACACAGCACCTCAGGGCTACTCCTATACACGTATCATGTTAGAAACGTCAGCTGTTATATTACTTGGTCGCAGTTGCGCGTGTCAAGCGGACCCTAAGAGTTTGCGGTAAATGTCATACCGATCAATGGGTGCGGGAAATCCATGTGTGACTGCATTAAGATGGTAGCACATCAGGTTGTGATCACAGTAGTGATAGTAGTAGAAGCAGTGGCAGGAGTGGTAGTCGCCATGCCAAAGCCAAACATTTCATCTCAACTATCGCTTTCGTTTCTTGCCCCGCTCCTCATCGTCCAAGCCACCTTCCCTGTCCTTCTTCTTCGCCTTCAATTCGAGCTCGTCCCAATCCTCACCGCTCTCTTCATCCGCACTGAAGTCATCACTTGCTTCAGCACTAGCATCATCATCAAATTCGCTATCATCTTCCGAGCTCTCGTCCGCAGCCGCAAGCTCGGATTCGGAGAGCTCAAACGCGGACTCCTCTTCTTCGTCCGATCCGCCCTCAGAGTCGGATTCTGCTGCCAAGAACGACCAACCTCCATCCACAAAGAATCCGTAGGGATCACTCACTACTGTCTTCATGATAGTGGTCCAGTTTAGATTCAGGGGGCCTTCAGTGAAAGCGAGGTCGACAGAATCCAACCAATCTTTCACACCCTCCAACGACTCAACGGGAATGGTGTTGATGTGCACGGGCGCCCGGTGGAAGTCCTTGAAAACAAAGACAAGGTCAAAGTTTTTGAGTCCAAACTGTAGAAACATTAGAGTCGACAAGACCAGTGAAGAGATTATAACTTACCTGTACTCTTTCTAGGTGAGCAATTTCAACTTCGTTAAGAGTGATCACCAAGAACGGGGGCTCAGTCAGTTGGACGAGAGCGTCTGTAGTAGGCTGAATTAAGACATTTGACCGGTTGGGAACACCAGTAAAGCCAATTTCTCTGAATGGGATGTCAACGTCGACTCCTTCGTCTTTGCCAGCATCCGCGATCTTTTCAGCAAACGCCTTGAACTCGCGGTCCAACGCTGCTCTTCGTCGCCGTTCTTCTTGTTCAGCCTCAAACTCCTCTTCGTCCCCATAACGGTGTTTACGTCTGCGGTTCCCAGTCTCATCGAACTGCATCTCAGTAGCTTCCCTGTAGAATTGAACATCCCTAGTCTTCCTTTTTCCTATCAGTATAGGTGTCTTCAGATGGACGTGTATCAAGACGATCAACTCATGAGCGCATGGTTGGAAAAAAAGATGCTTCACATTGCTGAAAAGCACATCGACGTGTTCATTGCGGAAGGGCGACATATAGCGAAGGCCGTTCTGATGTATCTCAACCTCACCAGGGACTCGCTTCCCGTCCAAAGGTGGCCGCAGATAAACGTCAGGTAATTTGACAGGACGACGGTCTAAAATGGTTATCCTGAATCCTCGCGTAGGCAATGATCTCTGAGTCACTTACTCCTGATTTCAATCAATTTGTCCTGCTCGACCACATCCTCCATTTCCTTCTTTTCTTGCTCACGTCGCAGTGCATTTTTCCGAAGCTCTGTGATATCTTGAGCCACCTGGGCGAGTCGATTATTATCTTTAGACCTAAGAGTCAAGTTCCGTAGAAAATGTGCCGAGAGATCCTCGAAGGGCTGATCATCTTTCCTGCCAACACCTTGGCCTGGTGATAGAAAGTTGATTCTCAGGTAGGCATATTCCCCCTCGTCACTCTTGCTGGCATTCTTGATGGTATTGATATGAAATGGGACAGGTCGGCCCATGATAGGGACGATGACCGTGGAAGCCTTGTGGTCGACATAGATAGTGAGGTCTTTCACTTTTGTGGGCAATTGATTATCCCTTTTGTAAGACTCGAATCTCTTAAACTTTTTGTGTGTGACCCCATTTTCATCCCCTGTAGTACCTGCGAACCTGTCCATCCCCTCTTTTGTTTTCTTGGTGGCCAGTTCCTTTTGATGCTCACGACGACGCGCCTCTGCGCCTTCATTGATTTGGGTTGGCCTCTCGGCACGCAACTTCGTTCGAGTGACATTCCTGCTGGCAATGGCGCTTGACTTGACCTCCTTCTTCTCCTTAACGGGCTTTTCAGATTCTTCTTCATCCCCAAAATAGAAGGAAACTGAGTCCATGTCCACACCAGCGTCTTTCGTAAAAACAAGTGGCCCATTTTCGCCGACACGGACTGTATCAGTGATGACCATTGAATAAACGGAGCTACCCCTATCTTTTGCACTGGAATCCTCAACATCAGTAAGCCCAACAGTGACTGAAAATGTCATGCCACTCTTCAATATCTTGTCATTCTTCCCATTTAGCAGCATGTTAGAATCGCGGAGCTCAATTCCTACAGCTGCGCCAACCGATTTAACGAAGTGCGTCTCAAGCTCTGGCTTTTTAGCCCGAACCAAACTGATCGCTTTGTGATACAAGTCCTTAGCCACTGCACCCTCACGAACGTCTTTGACGACCGCATCGCGAACATTCAGAAGGAAAGCATAGTTTGCCTCCTGAGACTTGCTTGGATCAACAAGGTATGTACGCGCGATGAGCGAACTGTAAGTCCTGTAGCGAATTCCAAATCCTGCGACAATGATCCCTGGTTGAAGATTGTTATTGTCGGAAGAAGCTGTGAGCCGAAGGTCATATTTTCCTCCACTTTGTACAATGGGACCGTAAGCCCAGTCAATTTGCTGGGGATCGAATTCACTTGGGAGTTTCGCTAATTTGTTGAAAAATTTAGCGTCGTCAATCTTCGCGTCAATCTTCATGGCGAGAGCCTTGTGGGTCATTTGCTTCTCTTCATCGAGGAGACGAGACATTTCGTCCACAAAGTAATCGGCCATCAAGCCACTACAGGCTCTTGACGCATTTCGGATGGATACCTTCAGAACAGTTAACGATTGCAATTCTAGCTGACGCGACGCAGCTTGGAGGAACTGACTAGTTCATCTGTATCCTTGACTGCGAGTGCAGCTGACAGGGCGCCAGATATGTCGACTTCCTCCAATTCTCCACCACCGGCTGCGTAAGCCCTCCTCCAATCCTCGGAAAAGGGGCCAGAAGCTGTATCCTTTGGCAAGATACCAACTTTTTTCTGAAGCAGCACGTTGTACCTTAGCATGTGATGTTCACCTTTATAGCCGTGGCATAACTTACACCAGCTGTCTTGATGACCTCTATGCACTTCTCAAATGATTTTGTTTTCTCTTCTGGATTCTTCGAGGTCACCAAAATCTCTACTGGGACTTTGCCCCCTCTCAATGGCTCAAGATGTTTGGCTGTAAATTAATGTTGCTCAGTAAAAGGTATATCGAAGTACCGGGCACAGGAATGTTTGATGAATCAAAAGACCGAAGGAATTACCTTTCTTAGCTGTTGTAACGACATATACCACCTCAGTAGTGAATACCAGGAGAGTAGCAGGGAATTCATAGCCAAGTAGCCAGAACTAGTCATTTGTCCATTAGTGTGTTGCCTGCCAGCCTATTTATCACCTCAGCAACAACTCACATGCATCGCGTTGTTTTTTTGAAAACTGTTAGCCTCGTCTGTCTTCCCCATGAGAATAACGATAGATGAAACGCCGCCAAAAGTGGCATTGTTGGAGCGCCTATCTGCTTTCCATGCTGAGTAGAAGCTCGTGAGTCGGTTGAAGAATGTATTCTTATCAATCACAATCTCTTCTGCCATGGTGTAGGGTTTCCAGTGGCGCGGGCTAAACGCTTAGAGGTTCGCCGTACGTAGCAGCACGCAGTCCTTTAACGAGAACTCCCGGACAAAACTAGAACGAACGTTCAGAGGTGGAACTGGAAAGGGAATGGTCGAAGTGATAGGCTGTAGGAGGAGAAGCTACAGACTACACTGGGACGAGATCTGAAGCTGCCGGTGTTGCAGAAAAATTAATTGGAAGAGAAGCGTGTTAGACCGCAACTGAGCATTTAATTAACAGTCGCGGAGGAAGCCAGGCGCAATCTTAACGCGAGACGAAGCGCGTTCTCAGAAGGCTAAGTAAGATATTAGTAAGACATGTTTGAGCTGTTTGATTTCCGTTTTGTGAACCGTCTGTTATAAGTATACTTTTGAGTATTTGAGGAGTACAGTGCATCATTTGTGTTGACCTCAGCCTGGCCGATATCCCCATCGGCTTCTTCAGGACTACTTCGTCAGGTTTCTCTTCATTCTTCATCTGAGATACTACTTGATCGCACAACGTTGTAATATTTCTCACCAATCTGTCACACTCCTACTCATACACAATGCACATATGACTGAGTCGTTCATGAAATCGAGTATTAATTTGCCATGCTTTCGTCTTAGCCGCTAGTGCTCTTTTGCCAAATTCGAAGCCTGGCCTTGCGACATCTTCTTCTGAGTTTTCAAGATGACAGATGATCTATCATCTGGTCATACAGATCAAGCGAGCATCGACGACCTGATTCAGTCGGACTCAACCTCTCGAAGGAAATCTCGACACAATGCTGCAACTGGTGCCTCTGCTGCTGGTACTCGTGCTCTGAGTGCGCAAATTGTTGCCTTTTATTTCAGGGCACCTATAAAGGCTTTTTTCCGTACCCGAGTTGAGTATGAATTCAAGCTGCCCACTCAAATCATTTCTGTTGGATATTGACAAGCCTTGCATTTGCAGCTATATGGTGTGTAGCCTGGCCTTCCTCGTCCCTATCATCTCAGTTCTTCGCTGAATTTTCCGGTTCTACTCTAAATCTGCAAAGGCATTTGCCAGGGCTGTTAACCCTCACTCAGCGAAGTCTGGCTGGTCCTTGCATACGACCACACCCGGGCTCTTGATGCACGCCGTTCGTACGTATGGTTGGCGCTTCATTCCCAATCAAGTTATGCCCCCTTTGTTAGCGAATGCCGCGTGAGCTCTCCCAATCATTGTACCACATATATGTGCATATCCTCTAACTACCGCAGAGTTGGTGCCATACTTTACACATCATATCTTCAAGTTCTTGGGAGTCTTAACGAACCTGTGTCGCAAGGCGTCAAACGTATATACCCCCCTCCTCCGCCTTCAAACACATTCGCAGCCGGATTCCTAGCCGGAACTATTCAGTCTATAGTAGCCGCCCCCCTTGATGCTCTCCAAGTCCGTCTAAGAACAAGTGATCTTCTTGAGGGGCAGTACCGGAGTATGTGGCATTATGGCCGTC